CTTGGATGTCATCAATACGGACAGGAGTTGTTGCCAGAGTTACGACGGCTTTGTTATCCGTAAGGCACTGGTATGTACTGTCCATCGCATGTGTTATACAACTAATAACTTATTACTTAATCATCGCATTGAATGGCGGACCAGTTGGACGGCAACTGCCCACCAGTTGCTGAGCCAAAGTACAAAGATGTTGTGATTGCCGATTGTAAACGACCAGATTTTGGCCAAATCGTAAGCCTGTGCTCTACTCTAACCGGTGCTCAACCCATGGGTGACGACTGCGACAACTTTATACACTCATTGAACGCCGGAGTCGACACTCGCCCGGCAGTCACTGTTAGCTCCGGTATCCCATTGACTACTCGTGCGGTAATTATTGTTGTTATTTTGGTTTTAACTGTTATTATATTGAAATTATTATTTGGTTTGCGGTCCGCAACCAGTCATCCACTGCCAGACCTAACCCAAAGTCTACCGCCAGTCCTCACTGTCCGTCCACTTCTGTGTCGGTATTATTGGCGGCGATTGTGGTGTCGATAGCCGGAGATGTCTACGGCTTTTGATGTGTAATTCATGCCATTATTTCATCAACTATTTTATGTTTATATTTTCAAAATTTTTTGTCTGTATTTTATGCATAGATTTAATCGCAATTTTCTTGTGTTATATTAATTTTCAATGTTTTCTTTGATGTATTTTAAACTAAATTTATATTAATTTGTAATTTAAATAGTTTTATAAACTTATTTATGGCATTAAATATGATTTAAAACAAGTTATTTACATTATTTTCCTACCCGTCCAATGGGTTTCAAATAAAATACATTCATTTTTGTGTAGCATTTATTCAAATACATTGATTTTACAATCAATTTAATAAAAATTACATTAATTTTCATAAAAATACATAATAACTCAACCAATAAAATGAAATATACATTTGTATTCAAGAGTTTGTCAGCTAATATCCCGACTATTGTCCGTCCGATACAACCCAAACAACAATACAACACAAATAACTGATACATAAAACCAGGGAATGGTAGGCATGGAAAGGGAGGGATGGGTTGACAATAGGTATAACACACATCAATTCAAAGCGATATATTTAATGAGAAGCGTATAAGAAATACAATGAATTAATTCAAAACATTTGGTTTTAACTAAAAAGAAATAATAATACAATTATTTTTAAAAACTATTCGTAAAACAAAATGAAAAACACATTGAAATGAAACAAACAACAAAATGTGATAACAATTTAGATATAAAATAACGGATAAAATAATGGCTTGAATTGAAACTTAAAATGCATAGATAGAGACGGCTATCGACACCACAATCGCCGCCAATAATACCGACACAGAAGTGGACGGGCGGTGGGAGTCGGCACTGGAGGCCAACTCATCGATACGTTTCTTACAGTCGGGGCTCATCTCACGCCTCCCTTTCAGACTTTTGCAATACTTATCGTCCAATTGCTGGCCATTTAGGACATCATTACACACACCTTTCATATCCTGTTCCGTGTTTTTACCCCCAATTTTAGTGCACTTGTTGTGAATCTAACCCACCGTTCAATGCAGTGATAGTAATGAATAAGATATACAGTGAATAACACAGGCGATTGAACAGTACATACCTGTGCCTTAACGATGCCATAAGTGTCATAATAACGACAACAACCCATATCTGTGTTGAATAGTTGGTTGAATTGATTTAATTGTTTTGAGATGTTTAGCGCATCCAGAACGCTTGGAAACGTGAAACCCGGTCTCGAGTTTGCACTGGTATTTGCACTCGCGGTCATCTCTGGTATTGACAGCTCAATGGGCCACCTCTGGACCATACAACGGGTCAAATTGGGCATCACTTGTGCACTCATGTAGTCTCTGATCTCGTCATCACAAGAATAATTATAAAAAGTGGAAAAGAATTGATAGCCGGCACGCGATTGGCCGCCACTACGATCACCGGTGGTCGGGTCCGCACCCGCTGTGCCGGCGATGGCCACACATATGATTGCGATGAGAGTGAAGATCATTGGCACTGATTTTACAGATTTTACAATGCAATTTGTGTTCAGTTATGAATTGATTTTCTGTCTTAGAAATTGTGAAAATGTTCATAAATTTTGGAAATCACGCGAATTGAGAAATGCCTTAACAATAAATACAACACATATTGATATCAATGCAAACCAATACTTTATATAAATCGCGTGAATTTCAAGTCAAAAATATTTTTATAAATTTCTAAACCGAAAACTATTTCATAACTGAACATAAATTGTAATCAAATGTGTGTAAAATCAGTGCCAATGATCTTCACTCTCATCGCAATCATATGTGTGGCCATCGCTGGCACAGTCGGTGCGGATCCGACTATGAATACCAGTAGTCAACGACCGGCTGCGGCACAGATTAAGTTCATCGATGATTACAAATGCAGTCCAGAGTTTGAAACCCAATTCAATAGTGATATCTCTCATAAAGTGAAACAATGTGTGGGAAAGAAGTGGGTCTTAACCGACAAACCCTCGGATGCCATCAATACGGACCGGATTTGTTGCCAGGATTACGACACCTTTATTATCCATAAGGCACTGGTATGTACTGTCCATCGCATGTGTTATACAACTAATAACTTATTACTTAATCATTGCTTTGAATGGCGGGTCAGTTGGACAGGAAGTGCTCACGAGCTGTTGCGGAGCCAAAGTACAAAACGGTTGTGACGGACACTTGTAAACGACCAGATTTTGGTCAAATCGTAAGCCTGTGCTCTACTCTGACCGGTGCTCAGCCCATGGGTGAGGACTGCGACCACTTTATACACTCATTGAACGCCGGAGTCGACACTCGCCGGACATCGACTCCTGTGTTGGTATTATTGGCGGCGATTGTGGTGTCGATAGCCGGAGATGTTTATGGCTTTTGAGTTAAAATTCAAGCCATCATTTAATTTGATATTTGTGTCTAAATTGTTATCAAAACTTATTTTGTATTATATTTTTATATTGTTTTCTATTTAGAAATTTTTATCATTTGTTTCTGTTTTATAATTTGTCTCAATTTTGTATTTATGATTAAATTTATAATTATATTTGCAAATAAAATAATTTATGCCTTTAAATGTGTGTATTATTTGTGTTTATTTTGATTACAATTAGTAATAACTCGGTATTGACTGTCATTTCTATCCCTAACCATACAATACCTGTCATTCAAAAACAATATTTTTAATTAAAACTTAAACCAGAAATAATTATTTGAAATTTTATGTGTTTTATAATCCATTCAAACAATATTTAATATAAATTCACGTAAACTTCTAAATTCAAAAATAGTTTCACGTTTTTTAAACAGTAAATCATTTTATAACTGAATATAAATCACAATAAAATGTGTGTCAAATCAGTGCCAATGATATACACTGTGTTCGCAATCATATGTGTGGCCATCACTGGCACAGTAGGTGTGGACCCAATAAGATCTTTCATGAATGTCATAAAGGGATTGGCACATAGAGCTAACCATAATGAATTTGGATACAATTGCAGCAAAGAGGTTACGGCCGACATAACAAATGTGACTAACGATATAATCAACTGTACAATTGCCAGGTATGGCATCACAATCACCACTCCACTAAATGACCACGAGTGTTGCGCTTTTCACGATTACAGTGTTGCGCGGACCGCATATGTATGTCCTGTCCATATGTTATGCTATTTATACCAATAAATACCTTAATTAACCACCGATTTAATGGTGGCATCAGATCCAGAGAGTGTGTGTGAAAGTGTCGGGCAATGAGAGTGATAGTGATCGCCAAATAAGGGAACAGTGTATCACAAAAGGCCATATATTGAGTGACAGCTATTGTAACGGTCTGTCCGGTAGACAACAGGATAGTCCTGAATGTCAACAATTGTTTCATCATTTGACTACTGGTGCGACTCAACCGCCGGGTACTGGCGCTCAGTCACCGGTTACTGATAGCTCCGGTATCCCATTGATTACTCGTGCGGTAATTATTATTATTATTTTGGTTTTAACTGTTATTATATTGAAATTATTATTTGGTTTGCGGTCCGCAACCAGTCATCCACTGCCAGACCTAACCCAAAGTCCACCGCCAGTCCTCACTGTCCGTCCACTTCTGTGTCCGTATTATTGGCGGCGATTGTGATGTCGATAGCCGTCGATATCTATGGCTTTTGATGTGTAATTCAAGCAATAATTTAAGTTAAAATTTTTATCAAAACTAATTTTGTATTTCATGTATAAATTTAATCGGAATTTTCTTATGTTATATTTATTTTCAATGTTTTCTTTAATGTATTTTAAACTAAATCTATATGAATTTGTAATTTAAATAGTTTTATAAACTTATTTATGGCATTAAATGTTTTGTAATAAGTATTTACAATAATAAAAATTATTTAACCCGATTTATATACATTATTTTCCTACCCGTTTGATAGGTATTAATTAAAATGGATTCATTTTTGTGTAGCATTTATTCAAATACATTGATTTTACAATAAATTTAATACAAATTACATTAATTTTTTTAAAAATACATAAGATTTTAATAATCACGTGAAAATAAAAAATTTAAATATAATCTTCAATTCAATTCATAAATTCTAATCATAACTGAAAACCAATTGTAATAAACAAGTGATGAGAAACAGAGAGACAATGATATACACTGTGTTCGCAATCATCATATGTGTGGCCATCACTGGCACAGTATGTATAGACCCGACAACCGGTACCACAACTCGTAAAACGCTACATCTGGAGCCCTACAGTTATTTTGGTTACGACTGCAAAGGGAGTGCCGATTATATCAAAAGCATTGATGGAAAATTATTTACATGTTTGAGAAACGGCTGGAATCTGACCATGGACGATCTCCGCAACTGCTCGGCCAAATATTGTTGCCGTGAATACGAGTTGCATCGCGGGGTTAAGACACTGGTATGTTGTGTCCATATATGCTATTCATCGTATAAATGTATGTTTTAATATGTGTTAACACAATGTATGGTTAGGTTCATAAACACTGTCGTAAAGATGAGGGCAAACCAGACACCAGTGATAAGTCGTTGATATCCATTTGCGTCACCAAAAAGGGACATCAATTGAGTGATAGCTTTTGCAACGGTCTGTCCGTTCGGCTACCGATGGGCGCCGACTGCGACCATATCGTTGACAGTCTGGCCAAAGGTATTGATCCGTTCCCTACGCCTAGTGTTAGTGTCCGTCCGCCACAGCATTCCGGTCCCAACCAGTCATCCACTGCCAGACCTAACCCGCAGTCGACCGCAGTTTCCGTATCATTGGCGGCAATAATGGTGTCAATAGTCGTCGATGTCTATGGCTTTTAAGTTTCAATTCAAACAATCATTTCATTTACTAAATTGTTATCAAAACTTATTTTGTATTTTATTTTAATATTTCTTTCTGTTCAGAATTTTTATCAGTTGTTTCTCTTATATAATTGATCTCAATGTTTGTATTTTGAACTAAATTTATAATTAATTTGCAAATCAAAATATTTTTGGCTTTAATTGTATGTATTATTTGTCTTTACTTTATTTTTATCAGTAATATTCCGGTATATTATTGAATATCAATACCATGTGAATATGAAAACTTCAAATATAATTTTGACTTTAATTTATAAATTCAAATCATAACTGAAAGCCAATTGTAATAAACAAGTGATGAGAACCAGAGAGACAATGATATACACTGTGTTTGCAATAATCATATGTGTGGCCATCACTGGCACAGTGGGTATGAAGCCAATGATCGGTGCCATAGGTTTACCACGAGTTGCCGGTGAAGAACCGGATGAGAGAGACTTTGGCTATGACTGTGACGCCGAGCCCAAAGAGCACAGGGAGTCGATGGGACGGGAAGTGTTGTATTGTATGAAAACCCAGCGCTGGGTCATCACGGATCAGGAGTTGTCTAAATCATTGGCCAAAACTTGCTGTTTTTTCTACGATATGTTAATTATGTTCAGGGCAATAGTATGTACTGTGAAATAATCATGGTCGATATGATGGCACTTTTGACATTTGTAAACCCAATGTGCCATCACATCGACCACAATTATTTTACACACTATATGTTTTACATACACAACCAATATATGTCACACACTGTATGTATTAAAATGTTTTTTACACGCATTGAATGGCCGATCAGTTGGACAGTGAGTGTCAGAAAGTGGTCCACAAAGAGAACCCCGAAATGGAGAAAGTGGTGACCAATTGCACGGCCGGTGGATATCCGGTGAGCACAACTTATTGCGAGAGTCGGCCAGAGAGGCAACCGATGGGCGCCGACTGTAACAAACGTATCGATGATTTGCTTATCGCTGGGCTCACTGATAAGCCCAACCCGACCGCTGGTCCCCACCCGCCGGTCACTCATAGCCCGGGCGGGCCATCGGCTACTGTCCCGGTAATGATTGCTTTGGCAATAGTAGTGTCCGATAGCGATGTCTCTCTGTCTATGGGTTTCATTAGTGTTATCGCTGTTTAACAACGAAATAATTATTGCAATTAATTTTTATCAAAATTTATTTTGTATTTCAATTCAAATACAGAGCGCCGGACACTCCTCTGGCGACCCGTGCGCTGCTGTTATGGTATTATTGGCGGCGATTGTGGTGTCAATAGCCGGAGATGTCTATGCATTTTGATGTGTAATTCAAGCTATCATTTGATCCGCTATTTTATATGTAAATTGATTTTACATTTTAATTTTTATTTTATTTCAATGTTTTATTTGTTTTTTTCTTTTAAATCTCAAACTAAATGTTTATTATTTTAATTGTATTTGAATTGATTTTTATGTTTAATAACATTTTATTACCATTAACGAAATAAATGAATTGCAAATAATTTAAATCAAATTCAACTTTTATTTCGTACAAAACATATAACACTTTAAAAGTATTAAAAATACAATACAAGCCATGGATTGAGAAACATATAAAAACACACAAACATTAACTAAATATATAAGTTTATATAAATATTGAACAGTCATTACACAAAGTACTGATAAATATATTTAATTAAATGTATAAGAAATACAAATCACAAAACAAATACATTTAATTTGAAGTAAAAATATTAAACTGAATAAAACGTTGAAATCAAATACAAAATAAACAATTTGGACATAAAATAGCGGAAGAAATAAACACTTGAATTACACATCAAAACCGATAGACATCTCCGACTATCGACACCACAATCGCCGCCAATAATACGGACACAGAAGTGGACGGACAGTGAGGACTGGCGGTGGACTTTGGGTTAGGTCTGGCAGTGGACTGAGGACTAGGAGCCGGTGTTTGAGAACCAGTACCCGACGGTTTATTCGCACCGGTAGTCAAATCATTAAACAATAGTTTACAAACAGGACTATCCGGTTGTCTACCGGACAGACCGTTGCAATAGCTGTCACTCATTGAATGGCCACTTTGGACACACTCTTCCCTCATTTGGCGATCACTTCCACTCTCATTGCCCGACACTTTCGCACACACTCTCTGGAACTGATGCCACCATTTAATCGGTGGTTAATTAAGACATTTATTGGTATAAAAAGACATCGTTATAAGCGCAACACTCTATGCCAGTACGCGAACCGGCTCTGGCTGTGATGCCATACCTGGCCGTTACACAGCCGGTTAAATCAGGGATCACCGCATGAATGTTTTCCAGAACCTGTTTGCTGCAATTGTATCCAAAATCACCATGGTCAGCTCTATGGACCGATCCCTTTATGGCATTCATGAATGAGTTTCTTGGGTCCACACCGACTGTGCCAGTGATGGCCACACATATGATTGCGATCACAGTGTATATCATTGGCACTGATTTTACACACATTTGATTGTAATTTTAATTCAGTTATGAAATGGTTTTTGGTTTAGAAATTGAGAAAATTATTTTTAATTTTGAAATTCACGCAAATTTCTATAAAGTATTGTTTGAAGTGATTGTCAAATAAGTTGTAATTGTATTTTATAAATAGTTAAATACACTTTATTTATAAGTAACTGTAAGTTATAAATTATAACTTATATTTTATACATTTATATCAATACAACACAAATGTTTAAATATTTAATCTGAAATCAAACACAAAATTCAGATAATAGGACAATAAAACATTAAAATTAATATAAAATAAACATTGATTTCAATAATGGTTTGAATTTGACATCAAATAGAGATAACACTAATTAAAGTGCGGACAAAACCCAAAGACATTGACGGCTATTGACACCACTATAACCGCCAATAATACCGACACAGTAGTGGATGTCCGGTGAGGGCCGACACCATTAGCCAACCCAAACCCTCTGCATTCGGGAACCATAGGGTGACTATCGGTATGTTTTGCACAACTCATGCGTCCATTGATATTCATTAGCCGTACAATTAGTGATGACTTGCCTTAAGATTATATCGTATTTATCCGTCACTTTATGACACTCTCTGTCGTACTGTCCGTACGATTAAAGCGATGATTAGTTTTAAAAACACGTATACATTATATTCAGATATAGTATACATACAATTGGTTTAACGATACGATTCAAGTAGTAATGAAAGCAACAATTGATTTGCAATTCGCATGAAATTCAAAAATCAAATAATTTTTGCAATTTATAAAAAATAGCATTTAATAACTGATTTGCTTTTAATTATCACTTATTCTTAGCTTTATATCCGTTAACAAACTCTTTGGTTTTTTCATAACATAACTGGTTTTTTGCTCGGATCTGACCATCGGTGACATAATATTGATAATCAATTGGTAAGTGAAGAGACAGTGATATACACTGTTATAGCAATCATATGTGTGGCCATCACTGGCACAGTAGGTGTGGACACGACTAAACTTGTGGTGACTTTCTAGTGAAACAAATGAACGGCGAAAACGACATGAATGCCAATCAGGCGCCGGCCGACGGCCCGGTGGTTGCGCCGCCAGCCCTACCACATCATTCACTACTTCACACCCAACTGTGCGCTGCGACCGAACCGCACCTCCGGGTGTATACGCGCGAAGAGTTGAACCGTCAAACCCGCCGGCGTTTAGACCACTACTGGCCTAAGATTTTGGTGGCCGTCTTCGCCACCATTCAGATGAACACAGACTACAAGTATGTTTTATACGCACTGAAGGCATCGACAGGTGGCGGGCCATCGCTGTACGACACACTGGGCCCGCATCGAGAGCTCGTCCGACAGGCACTGTACCGACTAATTACACGTTTCGCATACGTGACCGCATGGACTCCCGTTGTCGATGGCCTTATGGCAGTGCCCCTACCGGTCGCCTACGAGGCCCGGCGTATGGCTCGCGACGAACTGTCGGCCGTCAGACGCGTCGAGCGGGCGGGAGAGGACTCGGATGCGGCCGATGAGGCGCTGGAAGAGGTGGTTGAGCTTCGCCGACAGTATGTCGTCCAGTGTTTTGCAAATTATAGGGCCGACGAAGAGACTGTGATCGCTGTGGCCACCGGTGCCCACATTGTGTCGGCGATGGCGGCGTGCAGTTCGGTCACACCCTTAGCTCACCGCTCATATCAGACCATTACTCGGCCATTAGATGTGATCCGCTTCGGAAATATGGCCATCGATTTCCTGAATGATCTGAACGACGATCGCAATGACTACGACATCGATTCCACGGCTTATGTCTTACTCGACCGCATGCTTGATGTGGCCATCGAGTTGACCGCCGACATCGCCCCGCAGGCCATCGATAACGAGTAATTAGCGGTCTATGTCTCTGGCATTTGATGTGTAATTTAAGCCATCATTTCATCCGATATTTTATGACTAAATTGTTATCTCATTTGTTTTGTATTTCAATGTTTTATGATTTTGTTTTACAATTAGATTTGATTTAAATTGTTATTTTGTAAAAAGTAATATATAAATAGATATTTAAATGTATTTTAATTCATTGACATTTATTTATGCAATATTTTAATAAATTAATTACAACGAAATTTAATTGAGTTTAACTGTTATTAATAACTTATTACACAAAATATGCGACATTTAAAAGCTGTAGAAATAAATTAAAAGTCATTAAATGAGAGAATAATACAAAACTATTCAAACAAAACACACAAACAGTAACTAAAAAGTATTTTTAAATTATAAATATCGTAAAACTAACAATAAGTTTGTCGAAGATATTGTCAACAAAATCCCAGACCACCGGTGCTGACCATCACATCCCACACATAACAGCACAACACATATTGAGTGACCGACCGGTGCTCTCGCCGTATGTTTCATCACTAATTTTAAAAGTATTATTGTTTTGTGTTTTGGAT